TTGATGCTCTAAATTATTGTTAGAAGTGGCACTAGTGGAAGAATTTGGGCATTTTGCATCACGTGATACCAATGGAATGCAATTGAACTTTGCAATTATTAATCAAAGGTCAACCGTGTCCTACCTCCTCGCCTCTGGTACATTCTTGCCACTCATGCAAGATGGCCGACAGGAAGCTCCGCCTACCCCGTTGATTATATACATCCGTGACGTGCAACATTACAGCTCTATGAATCAACCAATGTAATATTATTCATAGCTGAGAACGGAGGTCTGGTTGACTCTGTTCTTTGACTTTGTGGTATCGTGCACTCCACCACAGGTTAATAATGTTATTCTTGAGTCAATATTTCAGACAAAATAGGGCGTGCTAGCTGACAACACGATAACCACGAGTAGTATAAAACCAGGACAAGAGATAACTAACGGTTAGAAAGGCAAGGCAGCAGTCGCAGGACCAGCTACTTATCTCAAGTTGGGAAGTCAGACGTAAAGCTAGTATACTTTGGCTGTAGCTCATGAGATAGAGAAACAAGTGAAAATGCACAGGCCGTTACCCTGCTTCACCTCCTATGACCGCACCACTGCAGCCTGCTCCATCTCTCAGACTGAAGAGCACGAAGACTGCTCTGGTCCCGACGGCTCGTCTTTTTACTGTGAACCTGCAATCAGCGAGACAGCGGGAGACCCAGTGTATGATAGGAGCTCGCTAGTGACTGGAGCAATACCATTAACTAGTCTCGCGAGCCAGAGCCAGACCATTCCCCAGCCTGCATTCATCGAGGTGGCTGCTACAGCAAAAGAGCAGCTGGAGAAAAGCTTACTGGTCACTGGATCAAGAACTGAACACAAGATCCAAATGCCATCAACAGCTACTCAAAACACTTAATGACCTCTCAAACTCCATAATAGTCTAGAATGTTTTGTTTGTTAAGAATTCTCAATAAAATGTGTGATTTTTTTGTAAGAAAATACAGTACTTAATAGCACTTTAATAATAATGATGATTTAGATGTGTAATTTATAATTTTTAATGATAATTTTTCACTTAACAATAATTTATCAGCATGCATTAAACTTAGCTGAGCCATAAATATAATACACAGAGTATGGCAGAGCATATCAGATTACGAAGATATCATTATTCCAGCAACACATGTAAATGTGACATCCTTACTCAAAAGTATAGTCCATTTTGATGAAAAAAGCAACACATGACCCAAAAATTTGTTGCAAGAGAATGATTTTATTCATGTATCATCAAAAGGAGGAATATGTAAATGCTGTAAGGGAGCACTTACTGTAATATGATCAGATATAAAGTCAGGACCAAGCATGAGGCAAATAGTCTTCAGGGCATTCTCCTTCTTTGGTTTACCAGCTGAAAATAACAATAAAGAGACACCCTCCCCTAGCTGTCCCCTCTCTCTCTCTCTCTTACCGCTCAAACTGAGGACATTAAAGTTCTCATGAGGATCCAGCACTACAAGATCAGGACCAAACACAACACGAGCTGTCTTCTCTATATAATTGTACACCTAGTATAAACAGCATATGTAGTGCACAGTTGTGATAAGGACATTAATATGGCTTACTTGAACTGCACAGTTACTGGGGCACCTGTAAGTAACTACACGAGTCTTGTCAGGCTTCTATAAAGAAAGAGGAGGACAAGAAAAGAGAGAGAGGGAAAAGAGAAGAGTGAGTATACATTTTGCAGTATACATTACATGTTGTGTGTGTGTGTAAGGTATCTGTGAATCTCTAGTGAGCTATGATAATGAAGCACCATGGTGTGTGGACTTGCCTGCTGAGATTCCCCTGAGGGATAATGTGTTACTTGTACTGCTCCCATCATAATATTATATATATAAGATTTGAAAAAAAAGGATTATAGATTTTGAGTAAACTGCAACAATGCAATTACTGCACTGATCCATAAAAATAATGAAGTATAGGTGTGGTCAGCACTTAGCAATGCATTGCAGTGCAGATAAACATGGCACGTGGCTAGGAGAAACAAGAAAAGCTGAAATTTATTTTAGCATCTGAAGCTCTATTAAAAGAAAGAGTAAGCACAAAAAATTTGCCTAGATATTTAAAAGAGACTGAGATAGTTTGGTTGCTCTTGCTTTCCCCAGTGCTGCCTAAAAATTTTTCAAAGAGGCTAAATCACAAACTTTGAGCAACTGTAACTCGCAAACAAAAAAGAGATTAGAAAATTCCCACATATTTTTTAATCTATGTACTTTTCTCTACCTATCAATGCTAATCTTGACCAAATAGAGTGAAACACGAAGATTTGGCTAGGAAAAGTGGTCTATTCTTGAAAATATTTGGCTTTTGCTACCACGGATTGCTATGAAAATACAACAGAGCTAAATAAATTATCTTTTTCTCAAAGCTTAAAAAGAATTATAACTCGGGAGAGCTCAGTAAAAAAGATATTGACTAGGAATTAACAGGAATTTTTGTGACAGAATGACAACCCAACTGCTTAGTACCTGCCTACGCAAGCGTGGTTAGTCCAACTAGTACATAATGAAGAGAGAGTGTGCAATTCTTACATTTCCCTTAAAGAGTGAAGGGTCTTTAGCTCCATCAAAATATGCTATCTTCCTAATACTAGCATCACCAACACCACCTCCCTCCCTAGAATGGAAACACAAAATCACAAAATATATGATTGTTATGATGACCCTCCCCTTGGAGAACAGTTAGGCCAGCTATTGTGACAATTGTCATAACTACTGTATGTAACATTTTGGGTGACTGGCCATACAAATGTCAGTCACAAATATTAAGTTCAAGTCAATAGTCTCTATAATCATTACTTTAATATTTCTTCTGCTAATGGAGTCAGTTCTTTCTCATACAGTTCCTCAGCAGCTTGCAGTAAATAAGACTGAGGGCCCAATATAGCACGAACCTATTGGACACACCACCAGTGTTAGTATTAATATAGTACTGTACTGTACTGTACTGTATTGGACACACCACCAGTGTTAGTATTAATATAGCACTGTACTGTACTGTACTGTATTGGACACACCACCAGTGTTAGTATTAATATAGTACTGTACTGTACTGTACTGTATTGGACACACACCACCAGTGGTAGTATTAATATAGCACTGTACTGTACTGTACTGTACTGTATTGGTTTACCTGTCCAGACTGAACATTTCTAACATAAATCCCTTCATTCTCATTCAATGGAGTAGCTTTCCTACAGTAGAGAGATTCATCACACTATCAGCCTGTCACAATAGACTTCAGGCTGGACCCCCCAGGCTAACACAAGTCTATTAATAATCTTAGTCTTAGTCCATAAGGAAATTCATGGTTAACTGGGGAGACAATTCAACAGTGACCCTCAAGCCTC